ATCTGAGATCGATCTGATATCTGAAGATGAATCAGATATTCAGATTGGCCTTTCAGACCAAGGTGTCACTGCTGTCCGACGCATTTCCATTCGTCGAGATGGCAAGTTGATTCCCACCAAACACCTTATTTTGACATTTAATAAACCGACTTTGCCATCTGTTATTACAGCAGGTTATCTGCGCTGCCCAGTTCGCCCATATGTTCCAAATCCGCTGCGTTGCTTTAAATGCCAGCGATTTGGACATTCACAAACATCGTGCCGAGGGAAAAGCATATGCGCACAGTGCGGAACTGAAGGTCACGAGAGTACTGAGTGTACCACTACTCCGTGCTGTGTGAATTGCAAAGATGCCCATCCTGCCTACTCTCGAAAATGCCTAGCATGGCAGAGAGAGAAAGAAATCCAGCGAGTAAAAACCATTAACAACATACCATACCCGGAGGCTCGGCGAATGGTCACTCAAAGCACAGTAGTGAAACAGAAAACATTTGCTTCTGTGTTGAAATCCACAATGTCATGTGGGGTTCAAACTGATATCTCTGTCTCCCCAAGCGAATCTCTTACTCGCCATGCGAAATGTTTAATACTCCCGTCTACACAAACACCAGAAAAGGAGATCACAAAAGGAAAAACACCCCTGCCTAAAACAGGGGTAATTACAAGAAACCTGGGTTCTAAAAAGGCTAATAAGAACCCACTAAACAAACAGAGAGTGAAAGCAGCTCTCTCTAAACCTAAAAATTCAGAGGCTCAGTCTATGAGTGAGTTTTCTGACTTCTCTGATGAAGAGAAGAATAACGGGGTGACACCACCAACTTCACCTCCAAAAGGCAAATCAGCTGTGAAATTAAAGAGAGATAACCTTGTTAAAAATGCTGCCTCAAACACATAATGGATTATAAAATAATCCAATGGAACTGTCGTGGTTTCCGCAACAACTTCTCTGACATTAAACACTTGACATCATCTACCTCATCTCTCTGTGTGGCACTCCAGGAGACTCATTTGAAACCTGGAGAAAGCATTACTTTAAAAGGATTCCATCTCTACCGCAAGGACGATGATAGCCACAACCGTGCCAGTGGAGGTGTGGCTATTGTAGTTTCAAATCACATCCCATCCTTGCCGGTACAAATCACCACTGATTTGCAAGCTGTGGCGGTCAGAATATCTATTGGAGGAACTGTCACAATTTGTTCTATATACTTGCCACCAGATGTCAGAGTCAATGAGGATGAATTGGATGCATTAGTTGAACAGCTGCCAACTCCATTCCTTTTATTGGGAGATTTCAATGACCACAATCCTATGTGGGGCAGTCCCGACATCAATCGTCGAGGCAGAGCCATTGAACATTTTATAGGCAATCAACAAATGTATTTATTTAATACTGGAGAAGTGACATACTTTCATGTTCCTACAAGAACATTTACTGCCATTGATTTGTCCTTAGCTAGCCCAAACCTGTTTTCAGCATTTATATGGGAGGTTGGATCTAATCCACTCTCTAGCGATTACTTCCCAATATTTCTAAAATACCGAGGCAGAGAAAGCTGTGAAACAGCCCGTCCACCACGCTGGAAACTGGAAACAGCAGATTGGCCTGCATTTTCCTCTTTGGCTAACATCACTGAGGAAATGGTCAATACTGCTGATATCAATGATGCAGTTGCATTTGTCACTTCTACTATTATTCAGGCAGCTGAAAAAACAATGGGGAAAACATCAACAAGATACCCAAAGCATTTGAAACCATGGTGGAACCAGAATTGCGAGGCAGCATTTAAAGCACAAATGAAAGCATGGGGGATTTTCAGAAGATACCCCACTGCTAGAAATTTGATTGCTTTTAAAAAAGCAAAGGCAAATGCCAGAAGAGTTAGAAGGCAAAGCCAAAGGGATTCTTGGAGGAAGTATGTTTCTAGCATAACATCTTCCACTAGCTCAAAAGCAGTTTGGGATAAAATCCATAAAATTAATGAGAAATATGCTTCTCACTCTCTGTCCATGCTGGAAAATAATGGCACAATAATCAGCGATATACAGGGTATTGCTGATACGTTGGGTGGAATGTTTTCTACTTCATCTAGCAATATTATGTATTCAAGAAATTTTCAGGCTTATAAAGCCCAAAGTGAAAAACAGTGTTTAAACTTTCACTCCTCATCTAATGAGGAATATAATGTGCCATTCACCAGCATAGAACTACATACAGCGATCTCTTGCTCGGGGAACAGTGCTGTAGGTCGGGATAAAATCCACTACAGCATGATTAAAAATCTGTCAAACAATTCCCTTTCTAATCTCCTGCANATATAATGTGCCATTCACCAGCATAGAACTACATACAGCGATCTCTCGCTCGGGGAACAGTGCTGTAGGCCCGGATAAAATCCACTACAGCATGATTAAAAATCTGTCAAACATTTCCCTTTCTAATCTCCTGCATCTGTTTAACAGAATATGGACAGAACATACTTTTCCTGACTCTTGGAGGCTATCTATCATTATTCCCATTCCCATTCCCAAGCCTGGTAAAGACCACAAGAATCCCTCTAATTACAGACCAAGCTCTCTGACAAGTTGCCTGTGTAAACTCTTTGAGAGGATTGTAAACAGACGTCTGATGTATCTCTTAGAGAAAAATGAATACTTTTCACCACATCAGAGTGGTTTTCATAGGAACAGAAGTACCACTGATAACTTAGTAAACCTTGAAACAAGTATACGCGAAGCGTTTGTTAGACGACAGCACTTAGTGTCAGTATTTTTTGATATAGAGAAGGCCTATGATCGCTGTTGGCGTTATGGGATACTCCGTGATCTGTACCAATCCGGATTGCGGGGCAATTTGCCAATTTTTATAAAAAACTTCCTACAGAATCGAAGATTCCAAGTTAGGATGGGCAACACACTATCTAGGCTCTTCACCCAAGAAGAAGGTGTTCCTCAAGGTTCTATTTTGAGCGTGACTCTGTTCCTAATCAAAATCAACAGCATAGCTAACTGTCTTCCTCCCAGTGTGAAACACTCTCTGTATGTGGATGACTTTCATATCTCCTGCCAGTCTAGCAACATGAGTTTTATCGAGAGACAACTGCAAACCTGCCTAAATCGCATAGACCATTGGTCAAAGATTAATGGTTTTAATTTCAACATAGAGAAGACCTCGTGTATCCACTTTTGCCGAAGACGTGGTTTGCACCTGGATCCAGAAATTTACCTAAATGGGGATAAAATCCCAATGGTGAATGAGACTAAGTTTTTGGGTGTTTCTTTCGACCAAAAACTGACATTTTTGCCGCACTTGCACAACCTGAAGGGTAGATGTTTAAAATCTCTAAACCTTTTAAAGGTATTATGCTGCTCATCCTGGGGAGCAGATAAAGTTTCAATGCTCAGGATTTATAGGGCCCTTGTCCGCTCTAAGCTGGACTACAGTTGCGTTGTTTATGGCTCTGCACGAGAATCTACTCTTCGGATGCTGGATCCAATCCATCATCAAGCATTGCGTTTGTGCACTGGTGCTTTTCGAACTTCTCCCGTACAAAGTTTGTATGTGGATGCTTATGAGCCTTCACTATCCCTCAGGAGAGAACAGTTGTTTCTTTTTTATTATATAAAACAAAAATCTCTTACTAAACCTTCAGTTGATTGTACAGTATTAGATATTCAGCTGAAAAGGTTATTTGAAGCTCATCCAAGTAGTGTCTTCCCATTTTCCATCAGAATGGAGAATGTAAGCAGCACGATTGACCTTGACACAAGCAACATTTCACAGCTAGAGGTTGATAGTATAACACCTTGGTCAACCCCAGTGATAAATATTGACCTTAGCTTAAAGCAATTCCTTAAAGAATCCACCCAATACTATGTTTACAGACAGCACTTCGCAGAAATTCAACATTGTGACAGGAATCTAATTCCAATATATACTGATGGATCTAAATCTGATAACTATGTTGGCTTAGCCTTTGTTTGCCAAAATGAAATTGTGGCAGAACAAATAGCACCAAATTCTTCCATCTTTTCTGCGGAGTTGCGGGCTATTTATTTAGCCCTAAAGTAAATAAATAGAAAAGGTCATCGTTGCTGCGTTATTTACACTGACTCAGTTAGTGCTCTTTAGGCTCTGATCTCGTATGAACCTAGTTCTCACTCCATAGTTACTAAAATTCGAAAACTAATTTGCCATCTCACTACGAGAAATTTTTCTGTGAAGTTTTGTTGGGTCCCAGGCCACGTGGGTATAAGAGGTAACGAAGACGCTGACACAGCTGCTAAGTCAGCAAGTCCTTCACAGCATACACTGCGTATTGAAGGAGGTGATTTGAAGCTAGTTGTTAAAAAACGACTAGCAGAGAGATGGCAAAACATGTGGAACGCACAAGTCCACAATAAACTACACGAGATCAAACCTACGATAGAAAATTGGGCACGTAAGAAACAGTATGACAGGAGATTTGAAGTTATTCTTACTCGCTTGAGAATTGGACATACTCGGTTGACTCATGAATACCTTTTGAAGGGTGAAGACCAGCCAGTATGTGAGTATTGCAACTGCTTTTTAAGCGTAAAACACATACTTTGCCAATGCAAGTTTGAGAGAGATTCTGGGCCAAAGGCCAAATCTGGACAACATAGTGGACTTTCTGAAAGTCAATAATTTGTATAGAGAGATTTGATCACTTATTTATTTATTTTACAATTTTATTTACCTTGTTTTGCATATTTATATTGTATATAATTTTTGTTGTTGTTTATATATTTATGTAATTTTGTGATATATTTTTTTATGTTATTAATAAGTATTAAGAGATTTGTATGTATTTTATTATATGTATGTATTTATACAGTTTTATTTAAATTATTGTATATATTCTTTGTTTTTTATTTAATTTTGTTATATGAAAATTTTTCACCATTTGCTTTGGCGCAGCTTAGCCTATATGGCTCTTGCGCCAAAAAACCAAAACCAAACAAACCAAACAAACGGCCATCCTGAAATCGGTGGCCGATCTACCGGATTTGGAAATATCATCTGTAAACAGGACAAAAAATGAGTACGATGTGAATTTTTTGGGTCATTAGGACAATATTTAAAAGACCTATTTGAACTTAAATTTTGATTCAGGGCGGGATTCAAGTGAAAGCATCGGGCCCGTTTCTGAATAATTTGTAAAAGCTTTTGATCCACCGTAAAGATGATCATCTCAGCAAACTGTGCTAAAAATTTCATTAAAAAAGATTGAATAGTTAAAAAGTTATAGCTTTTTTTATTTTTGGATAAGATTCCCCATTGAAACAAGTTGATCTTTTTGGCGCTCGTTGCCAGGGCAACAGTCGAGTTGCCGTGGTTACCAGACAAACATTTACCGCGAGTGGGAATTTCAAGGTCCATCTTCCAGCCTAAAATACTTCGTCAGCTGTCATTGCAACGTTTAATCAACAATGGATACGAAGGTAGATCTACAGGAGCCAACGAGTAGTTTGCAGGTTATCGGAGATATCAAGTTAGATGAAGGTTCTATTCTTCTTATCGGCAAGGAAAGGGAGGCTCATCTCCAGAGTTTAGAAGATAACATGTCAGAAGTATGGGATGAACTGACCGAAAAATCAACAGAGGAGCAAGTATCAGCTGAGGAAATGTCAGACAAGTTAAAGAAATACACATCAATAAGATCGGTGAGATTTACTTACGAAGAAAGATTAGATACAGTTAAATTATTAAAGGCAATTAAAGATAAACTAAAAGAGGAAGAGAGTGTTTACCAAGTAAGTTACCAACCTAAGAAAATTGTAGAAATTGCTTTGAAAACAGTAAAACAAAAAGAAACATTAGTTGGCCAATAAATACAGGTAGGAAAGTTTTTTATACGTTAGAAAGCTTAC